AATAAAAGGTGACACACATTGCAGGATTGAAGTTGATACATAGGATGGTTAAGACATGAAGTGATTGTGATAACATGTTATAGCTTTTTGTAACACGCATATTTACATGTACTTTACAATAACATCTATGTTTTTCCGTGCTTGTTTATTGCAAAAAAGTAAATTGAATTTTCTCTTAGATGATGTACAAAACTGTGTTTATTTTTATAGAAGTTTTGCATTAATTTCATTTTACTGTTAAAAGTTTCCCTCGTTTATCTTCGAAGCATTTTATGACAACTTACAAAATCTTCGTACTGTGTATGTGGAGAGTTCTGTGATAAATATTTATATATACATTGACATAACTCAAATCTATAACATGTTTTGTGATTTTTGACAAATTCATCGCCCGTCCTTGTGCTCTATGACAAACGATTTTAAGTCAAATTGGAACAAGCAATCTAGATACATCAATATAGCGTACGTCTTGTGGGGGTATTTTTAATCAGTGATATTTACCACATACTGTTTGTTATGTCAGTGAAGATACCAACTACGAGGGAAGCAAAATACCCTCGATTATGTGAGCTCAACGCCGCCAGATATGCTATAGAATATCAATTTATTTTGTTACCTGTCAAAGTATGTTATCCAATTGCCTTATTCACATGACTGAGAAAAGTTCAAAATCTAAAACATCGAATAACGCCAAAACTTAATTTCACACTCTGTAGGCACAGAAATACATTTCGGGGGTGTTTTATTCTCCGAAATATATTTTCTATGCTGACCTGTACATGAGGAATTGATAAAAGAATTCTCACATCAACGTGACAAATTAGATACGTTTGAATAACGTATTGTCACCATAATCACATCTTGCATTGTATCATGTATCGATGTTCTATTGGTTTTCATTTGTGTGTGTCGACCAGCTTGGAAAATTAATTCTTTTCAGAGCAGATCAGATCCGTATTTAAACGATTTAAAACCCATAGCTTGCCATGATCGACCTGACATGACGGCAGATAATACAGATGACCATTCCTCCAGGATCAACTCAGCATGTCGCTGCATTTATGTCCGTTGAAGTTCTTAGTTTCGGTGCAACCTTAATTCCTGTCAAACGCATCTACTGGAAAGTTTACGATAGAGATACATAAGTTATATCAGCGAGGATTTTTTTTATATTTAGCGTGTCTCTCAGAGTATCGGGGGATGACTACAAAAGAATCACCAGAGGACACAAACTTTTCAGCTCCGTGCAGCAACAAGAACACCTGGATATCCTAACTGCGCCGATACTCCCAGGATAGGAGGAACTCAGATTTTTTTTTTTTTTTTTTTGAAAACGCCTTCCCAGAATAGCTGTATGTGAAAAAGTCGATAAGTTGGATAATTGATAACACAGTTAAATACAATATCTAAATATAAAGGACCGGTGACATCACAGGTAATCGGAGACATGATGGACACTGAAACTCTGGTATCCCCTGATATCTCCTGGAGGATGACTTCCAAGTGGAAATAATTTGCATTTTTTTGACATCGGAATTAGTGTTTCGGTATTACACACTGTTTGTATGTGTACAGAAGTTTGTGGCACTTCTACATTACCTTTGTATCCAACTCGTTGTTGTTGTTGTTTTGCTATACCAATGATGATGTAATCAACACTATTTAAAGACTCAGGACTCAAAGTTTACACTTGTACTAAAACGAAATGATATCAGCTAGCTATTGATTAAAGTTTGTGGCTGAATTAAACGTTTGGATCACAAAGGTTACGTGTACATATGGTGTTATACTCCAAATACCAATAATCTGACTTCATTGTGTCATAGGTGTTGTAAAAAGTTGTGTAAACAGCGTCACTATCGATAACTCCTGGTTTAAATCTCCTATGTTAAGAAGAATTAACAGTACTGTAACATGCGATTTGATGATATATGGATATCGGAATTCTTTCTTATCATACCCACTTTGTACATCTAATGAAAGTTTAACGGACCTTAATCATGCAATTTAAAGCATATCTTATTCTGAAAAGTTCTCGCCTAAATCGTCGTATTTACAACCATATCCGATATGAGATTATGTTTGATTACCTACTAGGAACAGGTAAATACGAAATGGAACCATATTACAGCAGTCAGGAAAAGGTCAGACATGTTATCTAATATAAACGAAACAAACAAAATGTCTGAACAAGACGGCTTTGGAAACGAGTATTTATTGCCCTCAATTGTCATCAAAGATGTTCGAAAGAGTTATTACCCAAAACTTACACAACCTGTTCACAGTCTGACAGCAAGCCGTATGCTCGCATACCTCTGCCCAACCGGGTTTGCTAGAAGCAAAATGAGTTCTTTCCGGAACGGCCATCCAGTGCTTCCTAATATTAAAGCAAATTATGGAATTATGGACAAGAAAATTAAAGGAAAGAAAACAAGGTCAGCTAAACTGACATTATCATTTGGATTAACGTCACCATACTATCTTACCGATTTGCGGAAATCTGACCCAAGACATCGGGAGCGCACGAGAGCCTACTTAATTAGACATAGGCCACCTCGATCCAGGGCTGTGAAGGTTTGGTTATATCTAATAAGCTTCATTTGTCTGATTGACAACATATATAATTATAATCATTCTTATGAATTCGGTAAAATACATAAGTGTAGCAGTTCGTTTCTGCCAAAGCAATATAAGAAATTATCGATTTGATTAAATACTTCTTATACCATTTAGGGCGTAATAATGCGAGAAAGGACAGTCTATTTCTAATGATGATATAATTTTTCTAGTGATGGAACAATATTTAGAATTCAGATCAGAACGGTGTTCTTGTTGTGTTCTGTAGAAAATGATTCGAGATTTAATAAGTAACGATTTCACAAAATCTTTGAAAGTTAGAACACTGAGTATGGTGCTAAATTCAAAATGACATCTCTTATTGTCATACGCAAAATTATACAACAAAAAATATGTTAATGTTAACTGCACTTTTTGACAAATTTGTTCTATATTTTGAGCAATATTTTTCCTATTTTCGTGTAATTTAAAAAATGAAGTAAAATGTATTGCGTTGATTCTTTCATTTACAGTTCTAACTCATTAATTCTTGTTAAAACAGATCTTAAACTATTTCTCATCCATATAGATTATCTAATTCTCTAAAGTTAGTATATTAGGCTGGTTCAATATATAATGTTTTACGGCATGTAGATTTTATTTTTTTCGCCGCGGTATCGACACCTTTACGTATTTTGTGTGGTGACTACACGTATCAAGGTGGGCGTGGTTATGCAATCATGTAAGATTTAAATGACATGGTTTATAGAAAAGTTCAATATCATATAAAAAGGAGTTTCAGATTGTTGTTGTTTACGTCTGTAATAAAAGATTAATATATATATATATTCTTAATTTCTGCGATCTTTGACAGATCCAAAGGTATCTGAAGTTCTCGTTCCCTTTCATTACGTATTGTTGAATAAATGCCGTCAATGGATTTAGCAGCCACTCTCTTAGAATTTCGGAATAAAGAAAATTCCTTGACACTATGATACAATATTAAAGTGTAGGGGTTTGTTGTTAAATACCCCGCGTTGAGTTAGTTATTTTAAGTGTCGTCGTGTGACATTTTATGTAGCAGTTATAATTGTTGTAACTTATGTTTATTAATTATAATTATAAAATTATAAAAATAATTATAGAAATGTTATTATGAGGTTGTGATAACAGATACACATTATCTTAAATGTATGTTACAGTGCGTGTGAGATACTACTATCCATCATATGTTTTGGCATCACCTGACGAAAAAGGAGACAGTTATCATTACTTTTTAATCGTTTATGAAACGATGTATTATGGAAATTTGATTTTCATTTTGTAACAAAATTTTAATTCAAACTCAAAATTGATGAAACTAAAAGAAAATAAGAAACCTTTACACAGAGGCTCTTGAAAAGATGAGGAAAAAAATCAATATAAGTGTTTCGGAAGGATTAGCGTCTTCTACTTGATCGACGATACAAGTCAACGTCTACAATACAAACCGGAAGGTGTTCGGGATTTTCCCTCCATATATGTATTTCAGTTAGCATCAACATCATGGCCGTTATTTAAGTGGCATTAGATACTGGTCTATAGTGGTTATATGACTATGTGATTATTTTCTGCAAGGAGTCACTGAAATATTCATGATCTAGTATTTTAGACATACGTTTTTGTACAACCCTAATAGGTCCGAAACGCGTTCATGTTTGACTATTACTTCTATTAAGCATACTGTAGTATGAGACAAAAATAGTGCACAAAGATTCAATGAAAAAAAGTAAATTTATCTGTAATTATGTCACCTGCAGAGTAAGATTATAGTTCTTATGTACTTCGACTTAAACTTGCAAATTATTGTTGAATTTTATGAAAGTTTACGAATGAGATATATAAGGAAAACTTGATGCATGTACTTATAGCATTACGCAAGAGTTAGAATCTCATTATCCATTCAATTTTGTAATTAAGATCAATCGGTTCGGATTAAAAGCAATTATCTATTCATTAACGGCTTTTAAGAAAAGTGGGCAACTCACATTTGGATATAAACAGATTCAGAGCCTTTAATTTGCGTTCTTTGTATTGTATTTCTTTAAACCAATTTCACTGAACTTTTAACCGTCCATTTAAATCACCGACGTGACCACATAACATTACTATCCAGGCCTACATATTATCATCATTAGGATTCTGTTTACACAATACATACTTTAACCTAAGAAATCAATACATTTTATTTCCTATAGGGCGTATTTGTTTATATTGAACTCTTGCACGCAGTAAAATATATTGGTTCCAATTGGTAAAAAACATACTTTCAACTACCGTAGATTATCTTTGTAATACAAACTGGACCTTGAGCGGTTTCGGCTTTTAAAGGTACTTCAAAGCATGTTTCACAGGTACGGTGTGTTTTGAAACACTACGTCAACCGTATTTCTTTGTTATTACAGCCCCTTGTCAGGTTCCGCCGAGTCGTAAAGACTGTCCAGGTGTTGTTACGAGCAACGTTGACCAACAGACAGACCCATCGAACAGATGCCAAGTATCTTTCTTGGGCACACGATGACTTCTCGTCTTCCAAGAGAACTTACGAGATGTTCGGCCTCAGTTTCGATCCAAGTGACTACAGAGCGAAAAAAGAGGTACATATCCGTATCTTTTTTACAAATATGAAACACGACGACTTTATACAAAGTTCAATGCCTGCCTATTACCTATTTCTAGGCGTTATATAAAGTGTTATTGGGTGAAGCATAACATGAACGAAATTCATTAGAAAAGAATCTTTGATTTACGATATATTATCACAGAATAACAGAAAGAAAAAAAAGACAAGCCTTCATCACGTATTCAACATTATAAATCTAGACATTTTAAGCAAAACAGAAATATATGACATGAGAGTTTAACCTTAACACCGTGACGTACACCTTGCGATTTTTTCTGTTATTGCTCTATCAGTTCATCACGATTTCTTGTTTGTATGTATTCTTATCGAACTGCTGTTTTTTCTGTACTTTATTGATTTAGGTTTACCTTAGCAATGAGGCTAAGGTTATCCTATCTATGGATCCGAGGGACAGAACTGATGACCACCTGAAAGTGGCACTTCTTGCTCTCAACAATGCTGTAGAGGCATTCGGAGAATTCCCAATCACTATGCAACGATCCCTAGTCCGAGTCGGCTGGTATGAATGGTACGTCTCCTTACGGAACAAGAGTTACAGCCTTACAAACGAAATCTTTAAAAACATTATCTATCAGACACAGTTCGTTTGACTCACAACATTATGTGATGCATGGCATGTCATCAAGTCGGACATTGAATAAATTGTATTAAAATGGTTTTTTATCATCAATTCCTATTTACTGCTACTTCTTCTGTATCTAACAGCGGTTGAAGGACAAGAAAGTTTTGAGAGTTAACTTTGAGATTTTAAATTTAGATTTAAAGTCTAAATGTACGTGTACAAATGTATCTGTCTTATAGTATACCCATATTTAATACAGAAAACCTTTGTAAAATACAATTTCTAAAATATCTACATTGCTTTGATACGAAACACCATCGACAGTATCGTTGTATGAAGTTATTACTAAAACTCGTGAATATATTCAGAAGTGATTCACGTGATGCTGTTTTGTCGTTACAGTTTTGAAGACAAACGCGTTATCATTCGTCAAGGTCATATGGCGGACAATTTCTATTTCATCTTGTCTGGTACAGGTAAAGATCAGATCTATTTAATGTTATAAGGATGACGTAGAAGTACAATCGTTATCAATTAAGTAATTAAGCAATTCATATTTCTGTGTATCACAATTATCATCTTGTCTGAAAATTCGTCTTAATATATACTGACGTTTAAACTGATTCTAAAACGTTATACTGCAGTTTTTACCAACATTTATTATAACATTTTATTAATATTTATACTCTATAAGTATATCTAACGCTGATATCGATGCTTATACTCTATAATTATATCTAACGCTGATATCGATGCCTATACTCTATAAGTATATCTAACGCTGATATCGATGCTTATACTCTATAATTATATCTAACGCTGATATCGATGCTTATACTCTATAATTATATCTAACGCTGATATCGATGCTTATACTCTATACTTATATCTAACGCTGATATCGATGCTTATACTCTATAATTATATCTAACGCTGATATCGATGTTTATACTCTATAATTATATCTAACGCTGATATCGATGCTTATACTCTATAATTATATCAAATGCTGATATCGATGTTTATACTCTATAATTATATCTATCGCTGATATCGATGTTTATACTCTATAATTATATCTAACGCTGATATCGATGCTTATACTCTATAATTATATCTAACGCTGATATCGATGTTTATACTCTATAATTATATCTAACGCTGATATCGATGTTTATACTCTATAATTATATCTAACGCTGATATCGATGCCTATATTCTATAAGTATATCTAACGCTGATATCGATGTTTATACTCTATAATTATACCTGACGCTGATATCGATGTTTATACTCTATAATTATATCTGACGCTGATATCGATGTTTATACTCTATAATTATATCTAACGCTGATATCGATGTTTATACTTTATAATTATATCTAACGCTGATATCGATGTTTATACTTTATAATTATATCTAACGCTGATATCGATGTTTATACTCTATAATTATATCTAACGCTGATATCGATGTTTATACTCTATAATTATACCTGACGCTGATATCGAAATTTATACTCTACAATTATATCTAACGCTGATATCGATGCTTATACTCTATAATTATATCTAACGCTGATATCGATGTTTATACTCTATAATTATATCTAATGCTGATATCGATGTTTATACTCTATAATTATACCTAACGCTGATATCGATGTTTATACTCTATAATTATATCTGACGCTGATATCGATGCTTATACTCTATAATTATATCTGACGCTGATATCGATGTTTATACTCTATAATTATATCTAATGCTGATATCGATGCTTATACTCTATAATTATATCTAATGCTGATATCGATGCTTATACTCTATAATTATATCTGACGCTGATATCGATGTTTATACTCTATAATTATATCTAACGCTGATATCGATGCTTATACTCTATAATTATATCTAACGCTGATATCGATGCTTATACTCTATAATTATATCTAACGCTGATATCGATGTTTATACTCTATAATTATATCTAACGCTGATATCGATGCTTATACTCTATAATTATATCTAACGCTGATATCGATGCCTATATTCTATAAGTATATCTAACGCTGATATCGATGTTTATACTCTATAATTATATATAACGCTGATATCGATGCTTATACTCTATAATTATATCTAACGCTGATATCGATGTTTATACTCTATAATTATATCTAACGCTGATATCGATGCTTATACTCTATAATTATATCAAATGCTGATATCGATGTTTATACTCTATAATTATATCTATCGCTGATATCGATGTTTATACTCTATAATTATATCTAACGCTGATATCGATGCTTATACTCTATAATTATATCTAATGCTGATATCGATGCTGGCACCAACATTTATATTTTACATTTATACTAACACCCATTTCATCACAGGCGATTATGTGCGAATGTTTTATGTAGACGAACGGAAATACTATGATATCAACAAGTGGTATTGTTTTCTATTCCTCTTATACAACTATAATAGAGACTAAACAAAACTTGGTAGTGACCTAAACAGCTCGCTGCATTGTGAATATGGATAGAAACTTGTTAACGCTATGTGTTACAAATAAACACTTATATCTTTTATTGTCAGCGGTTGTGACGATATTGGAAACAGATCCAGAGACGAAAGAGCAGCTTGTACGCACAGCAGCACTTCTCGGCAAGGGTAATAGTTTTGGGGTAAGTGTGTGTCAATGACAGATTATACAAACGACAGAAAAGAAGACACTACATTTTAATACTAATTTTAGAATTAGATCTACTAGAACCGGATAAAGATATTAAACTGCATCATACACATTCTTCGACATGCATGAGAGACTGGTTTATAATGCTTTGTTTTCATCTGGTTATATGTTTATAGTAATGTGTTGTCATATACATTGTCTACAGGAGCTCGCGTTAATGCACGGCGCCAAAAGGAGCGCGACTGTGACGTGTAAAAACAGCGTGGAATTACTGGCGGTGGGCAGGGATGACTTTATCGATATATTTATGCCAGTGGAGAAGGACCAGGAGCCAGAACATATTCGCTTTCTCCGTTCAGTCATCTTACTGAAGGGCTGGCCCATTGTTAGACTTCCCTACCATGACCCAAAGATATGCTGCTTCACGTATTTCCGGTAAGGACTTTTTTCCCTTCTTTTTGTTAATTTCAACAAAGATATGCTGTTCGCGTATTTACGGTAAGTATGTTTTGCTTTTTTTTTTTAATTTCAACAAAGATATGCTGTTTCGCGGTTTTCTGGTAAAGTCTTTTTTTTTCTATTTTGACAAGAGTACATGCTCGTACATATTCATTGTACGCGATTTACCAAGAATGTGTTATGGAAAGACGATTAAAAAGATTCGATGTGGGCGATTGAGATTCTGGTAACCATCTAATTGACTATCAAACAAGAAAATTACACAAATATATTTCAGAGTCATTCTAATTAGCCATACTATCTCTGCAGCCATTGAGTAAATAATTCTGAGTGCTGAAACAGCACGTTCCAACAACTTTACTTCAGGATATGTCATTCAATGTCTCCACTTCAGTAATACCGTGTTGTGAATATAGACGTAGGTTTAAATCAAATGTCAATGAAATTTTGTAAATTTTATAAAGTATATCAAAAGAATCCTTTGAAATTCTTACTTAGGCATGATGCCTATCTGTGCTCATGTCCGTCCGTGTTGATGCCTGGCTGTATTGATGTCCGTCCGTGTTGATGCCTGGCTGTATTGATGTCTGTCTGTAATGACGTCTCTCTGTATTAATGTCTATCTGTAATGAAGTCTCTTTGTATTGATGTCTGTCTATAATGACGTCTCTCTGTATTGATGTCTGTCTATAATGACGTCTCTCTGTATTGATGTTTGTCTGTATAGATGTCAGCCTGTATAGATGTTAACATGTAAAGTTATCTATTTGCTGTAGGCGAGGGCTACTCCTTTGTAAAGACAGTAATACCTCTGAATGGGTTTATGTAATTAAAACTGGTACGTGCCGGGTCCTGAAGGCGCTGCAGACCACACGACCAAACATTCCTGGACTGGAACCGAATCTAAAGAAACACGAAAAACCATTAAGTGAGTGTCTGTACTATACCTTGCGTAAATGTGCATTACTTATCTGTAAAATATAATTCCAATTTCGTGACGAAAATATTGGATCTGATAGCTGTAAATTAACATTCGGTGAGATTATACATGATTTGCATGTTGACTTCCTTAGTAAAGATTATACGGTGTTTGTACAGAGTTACCTCCCATTACCCAGTCACAATCACTTACGTCACCATCAATAACACCTACGTCATCAGTAGACTTCTGTTCTCCGAGATCCCCTCGGAATTCCTCCAGTGAAGGACATATACCAAAGAAGTTCCGAAAGTGTACGACGGAAACAATGGCGAATCTCTTCTCAAAAAAATCAAAAGAAGGTGAGCAGAGATCCTGAATGAATCCATATGTTTAGTTCCGAACGACCAGAGATATAATAAATTGATTTTAACTAGTAACAAGTACCTTAAAGAGCGATAAAACACTTAAAATATTACCTTTTTTCTCCAGAACGACTTTCAACGGCAGATCATAAACGTAGAATTGATCGAGTGTACGAAAAAACACATGCAAGTCATTATAGAAAAGGAAAAGTAAGTATATTATTAGAAAAAAAAAACACACACACACACCCACACACACACAAACACACACACACACACGCACACATATATATACATCCATCACGTGATCAGTCAGAATAGGTGTAGTTTTCATGTACACAATATATGTACTTCCGTACTTCACTGGCGTCGAAATGGTGTGATTCTCACTTAAGTAATAACAGTACGCCACAGAGACACTAAAACAAAGTAATACACATGTATAGTAAGTGTGATCATTATGATGCTTTGAACCAATGTGTATCTATATTGAATTGATGATGAATTATAAAAAAAAAATTGACTCCTTTTAAATTCAGGAACGTCTACCCAGCCTGAGGGACCTAGAAAGCATTCCCAGCAGTTCTGAACTCAACAAACAACCAGACACAGTGTTTGTGCAAATACAGAAACTAGGGCCAAGAGAGACATATGTAAATATAAATATAGATTGAAACTTGTCAAATTGAAATTTAATTGCATTTACGAAATATTATCTCTAGAAAGTAAACGCAGCAGTTATACTGATTTTCGTTCAATAACGCGTAACATCACATTTTTGTATGATATGTACACGAAACCGCCTTCAAGCTAGTGGCAGAGAAATAACATCTATGGTAGATTTTCTGTTTGATTGAGATATTCCGTGTAGTTCAGGTCAGCATTCATTGTGTATTAAACAAAAAATGTTTTAAATGCCTGTAGATCACAAGCAAACAATATTACTTGAATTCCAGTTTTACATGTGTTATATTCTGTTCTTGGTGATCCAGGGCCTGGAGCAGGTCGCCTTCGGAATGATCGGTAAAACGACAAGCACGATATTAGTATCAGAGGGAGCAGAGTGTATCCTTATAAACAGAAAGTTTTTCAAACAATATCTCACAGACGAAGAAGCCAAACGGATACGACACACGGTATGTTTGGCAAAATATTTGTACATGCCAGAATGAAGTTATTATCTCTTTTCGTACAGAATATATTCTCTGATATAACATCCTTCAATCACATTTATACCGTTATACAGTTTTTGGTTTAAAATTTGCCTTTTGTTCGAAATTGTCTTTAAAAAGTTGTCCTGGTTCACACCGTTTGTCTCCTATCCGGTTTGTTTCATTTTGAAACAGTATCGTTTAAGGTACACTTTACCCTTTAGAAAAGCAGTCCAAGGGAGAGCAATCGCCTAGACTTACTGCACACATGCAGCCGACAGTGTTGAAATTTCTGTATGAATTTGTACCGATTATTATATATAGTTATTTGGTTTACAGAATTACTGTGTCTGTGACATATTTGTCTTCTGTATGGACATGTGTTGATGATATTGGCGTAAATGAAATTTATGCTATTGTTTTTTTTTTTACTTTCATGCTTTCATGTAAAAATATATTATCTGTACTGTGAACCGTACACATATTTAACGAGAGATCTATATATATATATAAATATCCACATATAGCTGAGGATGTGCGTGAAACAGAGTTTTTTATTGGGTTTATTTCCGCAAGTCAACATAACACCATTATGTTTTGGCTTGGCTGTTACACAACGGAAATTATTAACTGTTTGTCTAGTGCAGTTTTGTATCTTCTAAATTTTGTACACATGTCAAAGTTTCAAAGTGTTACAATTTTCAAAACATTTTCAAATAAACTCTATCTCTAAAAATAGCCACAAATTATTTGACGCTGACTAACAGGATATCCTTACTGTATAACGATAAACACACACCACCCACATCACTATCTGTCTGCATGTTGGCTCTTCGTTAATTATTTCAAGCACTATGTATTACCTTTTCATCCTTCAACACTGTTTTTCTTTTAAATTCAGTTGCAGCCGATTCCATCCGAGGAGAGTTTACAGCAGAAATTACAGGATAAGACAAACTGGGAAGCGTATAAAGCATTAACAGTGGTGTCACATCTACTTTACAAACGTCAAGAGGAAAACAATGCTAGTGTGTTTTACTGAAACTCAACATGGGACGCTGTGACCATCAATACAATTCAGCATACATTGTCATGCTGGATACAAACTGAACATATCGGCAACATCCTTCTCCAAATAGACTCCAAGAAATAGCATGATTTTGTTCATTGCTTACGCAGTTCTTAGGAAAACGTTTTTAAGGCTTCCAAAGAAACATATATTTACGATTTCCTATTTATAATGGTGACTTAAATTTGATTTATACGTCACCTCGCTGCTCTTCATCACATTCCTTCTACGTAAATCTGAACAGTTATGGATGACAAGGTTTTGTGTTTGTTGTGCAGGAGTCAACAGAGGGAAAAAAACGGGGATAATTTCATCTCGTATTTACCCATTATTTTGTTGTTTTTTTTTAAATTGCAAGAAGCAGCTTATGTTCTGAGTCAACAAAACAAATTAGAATACTTGACAAATGTTTGTCTGAGATTTTGTAACCAATATATGTTTTACCTTTAAATATGATAGGATAGGATAACATTGATTGAAAGTAGAGGTGACTATCCAGTGAAAATAATACCATTAAATGTATGAACGAGTATATATCGATTTCAAGTAGAAAAGCACGTATGGTTGATTTGAAAGGATATCGTTGATGAAGATATTTAATGAATGGATGCATTTATTTGATATAAATATGTAAGTACGAATTAAAGAACGTATAATATTAATTCATGTGATTTTTCTTCTTATGTGTTAGCTCGGAGATATCGCTAAATTAGAAGACATAAGAACACGAGAATGACATTGTAAATATTATTATTTTAATTCTGATGATAGAAATACCGAAATATTCCAACCTCCATGAAAAAAGAAAACATATGAATATTTAATATACAACTGACATGATCAAGTGATGTTTTAATTTAAAGGTCGTGAAAGAGACATACGACAGAATAGAAACATTCTATACAAAGTTAGATGCGATGCATTAGAAACAAACAATAAATTTCTTATATGTTTATTTATTTGTCTATTTATATTTAAGTGAAGATAGTGAATCTTAGGTTGTGTTTTCTATGACTGAAAACATGAAACTTAACAGGAATTAAACAGCAATGGAAGACGGGAAAATAAGAAGTAAGGTAGAAAATAGGACAACTAAAAAATTGGGAGGGGGTACAAACGGATGGTTGTATCTGCTGTGAAGCAAAGAAATTTTGTAAAACACAAAAGGGTGTCTTATTCTACAATTTTTTTTTCTTGATGAAGTATCTATATATTTATCAAACTCGTGTACAATTACGACAGGTAATGAAATCTGGAACATGAATATGATGCATTGTCATGATATATGGATGATACAACACAATTAACAAATGAAGACATTTTTTTTAGAATAAACGTTATTTCATTCCATCATGTAATACTAGAATAGGATTCGGAAACAAGTCATTGACTTGTATAAAAGACAATATTTTGACTCGTGCCCTGCCCGGGCCTCAAACTCACGATCTGCAGCACAAAATTGCCCAGCCAAAGAAATTCTAGACTGCGTAACCCTTACAGCACCACGACATCTCTAAATATAAGGATGTTTGAAAGTTGTACTGATAGACAGCAGGTGTTTTCCCCGTCATGGTCACAGTGATGTATTGTCTAATTAAGTGATATTAACACCGGGATCGCAATGTAAACATATATATATTGATACGAATTGTACATACAGATAATTCAAGTATAGAACCTTCGGATCAACAACATTACTGTATATATATAGATATAGACTCTAGTAAGTAATATCGACAGTTCGCTGTATGTTTTACCGGTTGATGGCCCTGATGACATTTTCTGTGTTGACGGGCCGTTAAGAATGTCATAATAATAATAAGAAGAAGGAGGAGACGAAGAAGAATATCGACAGGGTGGTCCAATATTGGTACTGGATCCTAACAAACATATGTTCATTGGATACGTATTACTGGAATATATATATATGATCAATGAAGTAATAGCAACAGTACGGACAAGCGAACTGTAAAATTTTTCGAGGCAACCTGTCCTTTTTATCACGACACAAATATTACATAAATTACATCATATACACAGAACATAAAACAAATACAAAGTTATAATCTAAATCGAGGGCGGTGGTGTAAAAATAGGCGTCTCGATAATCCCTTCGGCCGATGGACGCCGAAAGCCATTTATAGCGGACAAAAAAACATCCAAAGTTTTTGTATGTAAGATGGTGATTCAAATATCAAGAATGTTTTATATCAATCTCGGTATGTTTTGTACGCATATAAAATATTTCTATATTTAGCAATAATTAAAACCTACAAGCACGTGCAAATATGTTGTTAAATTATGTTTAATGGTAAAAAAAAATGTTTGAATAGAATTGTCATACCGCATCAGAATATTAAGCGATAATGAAATTAAATATTAAATGACAATGATAAAGATGTGATAAGTATTCATTTCAAAACAGTCTAACACATTACATAAAACTATATTGTACGATATAACTTCCGCAGAGACGCTAAAACTGATATGGAATACCAGCTCTTTCAACAGGGGGACATTATAAATTTAACCAGAAATATGAATATCCAGAATCATACAGCTTATGAAGAAACATATAACTGTATGTTGTTTCTACCTGTAAAAGTGGTATCATGTTGATATACAATTCGCATTGGATCCTTATAGTACATATCGATCTTTGCCTTGTCATAAACATGCGTTCAGGAAAACTTATCCTTCACATACCGCTTACAGATGTGGAATATTTTGGCGAGTTTCAGCTAGCAGTTATTGAAATACGAAAAAAAATCCATTTCTTCTACAGATCTAGGATTTAAAAGTTATGGTATTTGTATATATTTGAACAAGTACGTGTATGCTACCTGTACCTTTTTTCCCTTTCTTTGAATTACATAAGATAAAGTAAATAAAGTTGCAATGGTTGCTATTGTTACAACCGTTGCTGTGGGTTTTCCTTTTCAGGGTTGAGACAGGTTGCTAAAATACTCGTCATGAACAAAGTTGTTTTGAACTATATTCAATGAATAATTTTAAAATCTTTCACAACTTAATTTACTATATCTATATAATCTAGTAAGTAATATCGACGGTATGGTCCAATATTGGTACTGGATCTTCTATATATAGAATCTAGTAAGTAATATCGACGGTATGGTCCAATATTGGTACTGGATCTTCTATATATAGAATCTAGTAAGTAATATCGATGACATGGTCCAATATTGGTACTGGATCTTCTATATATATAATCTAGTAAGTAATATCGATGACATGGTCCAATATTGGTACTGGATCTTCTATATATATAATCTAGTAAGTAATATCGACGGTATGGTCCAATATTGGTACTGGATCTTCTATATATATAATCTAGTAAGTAATATCGACGGTATGTTCCAATATTGGTACTGGATCTTCTATATATAGAATCTAGTAAGTAATATCGACGGTATGGTCCACTATTAGTACTGGATCCTAACAAAACAAATGCTCGTTGAATGTGTATTACTTTTATAGATATATGATCAATTAAGTAACAGCAACAGTGCGGACAAGCGAGTTGTCAAATTCGAGGCAACCATTGATTGATCATTTAAGATCACGACTGCACTAGGTTTTGTTTAATTGTGAACAAAATCAGAGAACTATGTCATAGTACTGATACACGAAACTGAAGACCATCACATAACTGTATAAACAGAGAAATTTGGATGAATACACGTGTATAAACATTATGTATCTGATAGATAAAATTTTGCTAAAACGCCAGATCCAGAGCAATTTAGGGCTATATAAAACACTATACAATTAAATCGATTTATGTCTTTAAATAAATCCGATGTCATGCATAACAACTGGATGCTAATAAAACAATATTGCATTTTAAACTGCAAACAAACTGAACAAATACCAAACATTTCCATACGTTGAAAATATCCGATAAGTAAAGGAAACTGTATCACTGATAATGACGGTAAAGGACACCGCTATGGTGATGGCATTTATCATATCATTAATGACACACTGATTTCGTCATTCGAGGCAAGGCTCCGGATTTGCGTCAACTGTGTTTCCTTTTTAGGCCTTTGGTGCATTTTGATGAGATTTTGATTGGGAAAATGTACGGTGTGTGTCGCTTTAATTTCCATAGCTTCTTAATTAATATTGTGTTAGGTTTAACCTTACAACACTTACTAATTTTGTCATTCCGGCATTTTACAGAGAATTACTGTGAATTTCTTTCACCTTGGCAAAACATATCAATCTTATATGGAATTCTAAATTATCTTGTTTATTTTAGTGAAGATTGCTGTCTGTTCATAAAAAAGACAACATGTTATTTGTTATAATAGTTTTAAGCATTCCTTAATGTGACTTAACAGAAAATACACAGACTAGAATAATAAACTAGTTATTGAAGGAAATTGAAAATACTGTAACGTTCGTGTAATTATTTTGACAAATATTATAACGATCTCTTTTTAACGCATATTTAGCTTATATCATATCACATAAGACAAAAGAACAAATGTACCATGAACAAACAGCAATAAAAATTATGCTAATTCTGCCTCATTTTTACAATAATTTTGCTTCATTTTTACAATAATAATGATAAACTTAAACTCATAAGTACATATATCATACTACTTACATATGTCATTCAACAGGTATGTTAAAGTTGCTCAAGAACCATCGGTTCTTTAGTAAAGACAAACATGGTCAGGAAGAACGTTGCCTTAGGTATCAACTAAAGAAAGCCTTGCCGATTATTGTAAATCAAAAGTCATTTGTGTCTGCATAATATCTTCCTCATTTCTGTTCTGAAAGCACTGTCAAAATACCCATAGATAAACGGATTTACAACGTGGTTAACAAGATACACCTGAAACAAATACACGTACAGCTGTCGTAGACTGGGCGAGGTGTAGTTCCAGAACTCGGTTGAGTCAAGGTTGATGGCTAGATTTACAATTAGAGTTGGTATGTAAGTGACGACACAGGTACCAGCTATCACCAAAAACATAAGAGAATAACGATGCTTTTCCCGCCAGTTTTTAACAGATACAGAAGACGACCTACGGCGTCGTGGCTTTCCAGACGATTGTGCATTAATGTTTGATTGAATGTTAGATGCATGCACA